CCTCTCTCCCTTTCCCTTCCTTTCTTCCTTCCTCCCTCCCTCATTCTTTGCTTCTCTCCTTTTGTTCCCTCTCCTTGATTCTACTTTTTTTTACCAAGGATAACATATTCATATTTCTCCCTTACAGAGAACAGTATGAATACATGAGGTCCCATGTCGAAGAATATGAAGACCACTACCCAACCAAGCATTTTGCAAAAGATTAGAAGTTATCAGAAATGGAGGAATCGAGTTTCAGTTTTGACACTTTTTTTTTCTTGCTGAAGGTTATGCAATGTGTATTTCATGTATTGAATTGCACAGGGGAGATATAGATGCAAATAACTTACTTTTGTGAACTCCTTACACCTGATGATAAGTGTTGGTAGAAGTATAGGTACTTTTGGAAGGGATTCTTAGGTAGAGATAACGTTGGATCCGGTGTATTACTTGGCTTTGTTTAATACGATGAAACTTGGCTTTGTTGAATCATTAATGTGACAAAAATGTAGATGTCAACTAGTTAGGGCCGTAGCATCATTCGTGTAGTTAGTTGTCACCAAATTATTTTTCACTGCATTATATTTTCGAAGAGACATGCAGTTGTTATTTTGCTCTATTATGATAAAGATATTTTAATGAATTCACAATAATTCTTCAAATTTTTTTATGTATCTCATATTAGGTCTTCTTTGGTTAGTACAGTTTGTTTCTGACAGACATTGAGGTTAATTCATACTTTATTCATTTTTATTCTTCCAATTCTTTTAAATGGAAGTCATTCAGCAACATCTTATAATCTGTAATGCATTGTAGAATCTTCTGTCCATAGTTCTCAAAAGAGTTTTTAGATGTTAGTTTGATACCATGTTTTATAAAGCAGGCAGTCTTTAAGTAAAATGGTGTTTGAAAGTAGGTTGGGTAATGAATGTACTAATTCCAAATTGTGGTGATAATAGTATAGTTGGAATTAATCAGAATTTTTCAGAGTAGATGCAAAATATTTTTGTTTAAAATACATACCAGAAAAAAGAAGGGTAATTTTTATTTTAACCTTTATAATAATGCAAAATATTTATTGTTCAAGAATGAGATAAGAGCAAAATATAAATAATAATTAATAATATAATAAAAGTAGTAGCATTAGTTCTATATTTTAGTTTATACAGTATATTTATTTTAGAGTAAAAATAATGGAAATATTTGAGAAAGAATGCATTTGTTTGTTGCTATAAACAGTGAAAGAATACATAGATATTTTAGATAAGGGTAAGAAGAAGGAACTATTTATGTATTCAAAGTCCCTCTGTCTGTTTACTCTACAAATGAACTAATTTTGACTAAAGCAGTTTTTGTAAAAATCTTTCACTTCTGTTTCCATTGTTGTACTTGAGCTGTGACAAATTTTCCTTTATTCTTGAGACAAGTAGGCAAAGTGAAGGAGGTTGATGAAGAGAAAGGCCCAGGAGAGATTAGAGAGCAGTAAGGACATTCAGAAGTATCAAATGTCATGCTGAAAAAGAACAAAGAACTGATGTGAGTTGAGAAATTTAATCAGAATGTTGAAGAGAGTACCACTGACCTTGGAAGGAAATTACACCATTCTTTTGTTCAAGGGAGAGTGATACCTTGTAGTGTGGTAATTAAATAGGCTTGACATTGTCTGTGAGGGAATTCTAGAAAGAAAACTGATGTGTTTCCTTAAAATAGATATGAACTGGATTCCTTGGAGGTAAATCCTCTTTAGAAACCAAATACATCACACAGAAAGTTTAAGAGAGGTAAAGTAAGAAGAGATATTAGAAACAGAAGTCATTTTGTTGATCAATTTTGAGATGGCAGTTGAAACAAGATTTAGGGGGAGAGTCTTGCAATTTTGAGACTGATGTTGGAATCCTTTGTTGTTCATAGTGGTGTAAGAGGAACGCAGAATGCAAGGTCTGTGGGAACTATTGCATGGAGACAATTTGGTGCTAACAGCCAAGAGTAAGGGAAGAGTGAAAGAAAGTTTCTGAAATTAAAAGCAAACAATAGAGAAAGGCACCTTATACACAGAAGAGAACAAGAAGATGGTCGAAGCCAGATGATCAAACATTGTGAAAGTGAAAAGATATTTCTAAGGAGTGTGTAGCAGTTGAGTGGGAGTTGTCTTTATCATTTGCTACTTATGTGACAGATGGTGTCATACAGTAAGGGTTCGGTGAAAAGCGTTCACTCAAAGGATAGGCATTTTTAACTGTCCTGCATGTTTCAGGAGAAGCATAGGTGAGGAGAAGGAGAAAGATGAAATGGTTGGAGGAGGAATGCAAGAGGTGAAGCTGTTCACTAGAGGAGCGATGTGCATGCCCAGGATGTTAAGGAAGAAATGGCACTTCAGAAGAATAACTGGGAGTTGGTCATTGAATGTCTAGATAAGTGAGAAAGCTAAAATGATATTAAATATGGATATTTATCCCATTACAGAAGTGATATTAAGTATTAAATACAAGGGCACCTAAAACTATTGAGGCAGAATGTAAGAATGCCATTGTATTAATGTCAATATACACCAATTCACAGACATTTGAAAGTGTGTGATAAAGATTCTACAACACCTACCACAACTGGTAAGTGGCGGATATCCCTAAAACCGTGGTTCTTAATTCCTGTGTGGTGAGTATGATATTCAAGGGTCTTAGGATGTTGTAAGAGACCTTCGAATTGAAGTTAAAACCATGAATTGGATTTTGGTTTGCTTTGCTGCCAGTCAATATTATTTATGATACACTTGACGTTAAAATCAGTTAGGTTCACGGGATAAATGTATTAAGAAATAAAGGTGCCCTGGGGTTGCCATGTCGAGAAATATAAATGTTAAGGGTCGCAGCCAAAATAAAAGTTGAACGCTATCCCATTGGTTAAACAGATTTCAATTGAGGTAATTGGATCCCACCATAAAATATGTGTACAAGTAAAAAGAAAAAAAAGTTATAAGTAATAATATAGGAAAAGTAGGTTCACAAATATTCATTGCAAATCGATAAGTAGTCAAGTTTCCAAACCGTTTGTTTTTTACCTTTTTCATCAAAGCGAAGATACAGTAGAAAGGCCATAGACAATCACATTCCATAAAGGAGTAAATAAATAAATAAAAACGAACAGACAGATTGAGTATGTTCTAGACATGTTCTAGAGTAAATTATCTCCTCATTGGATGACTTCAAACCCTTAATCACATTTGAAAAGAAAGTATACTGCATATACTATAAAAGAGAGGAATTTAGCGACCCTGACCTTTCCTGTGATTGTGACCTTTTATGCCCTAGAATTTCTTTTGTGATGTTAAGATTTAATGCAAAATTTTTCCAAATGACCATAAATAGTAAAGGTTGTTGAGCATGCACAGTTTATTCAGAATGCTACCCCGCGAAATCACCCTAGTTTACTGTTGCAAAATTGATTTGTTTTGTGTGATATTTTGCATTGATCCTTAAGTGAAAATTACATGTTATAGAATATTAAAAAAAACATGGCTAAGAAAATGTTAATCCACTAGCACTACGGATGAATTAGGGAGAATTTGATTGTACTGAAACAATCAGTCAATATCAGTGGTAATGATAATAAGGAATAATGATAAATTATTAGAACAAAATAAATAAAAATCGGAACTATGTAACTCTATGATAAGATTGATAGTCTTAGAAGTAGTATGCTCTAAATGGAACAAAAAAGTACTGTGAAAATAATAACCACAAGACGAAATCTTAAGATAGATTTTATATGAATCAGACGAGCGAGAACTAAAACATCTTCAACTTCAAATACTGTTAAAAAATATCATTCGTATTTCCACTGTCTATTAACAAGGAAATGTACAATGGGTACATCCAAATTATTACGAAATTATTACTCTCTGACACCACAGGATTTTATTCCCTCCATCAAATATTATATCCCCATATCGACCGAGACAGATAGAGGGGAAAAAAAAACAAGAGAATGTAGAATGCAGAAATAGATGAATATAGACTAAGAAGGACAGTAGAAAGGCGTGAAATGCACAGGAAATGAGTAATCCACGTTTCCTCGTCGGTAACGTTTAAACACCAATTTCTTGCCACCATGATACACCTTAAACCCATATTCCAAAAAAATCCCCCTCCTCATTATGGTCCTTAAAAATAATGATAATATTATAACATAACGAAAGAGGTATGTGGTGTTTTTCTTCAATGATGAGCACGCACATCCTAGCTTGAGATTAACGTCCGTGAGGATATGAGGAAGTAAAGATTTATTAATACATGTTAACATTGTAATCTGCTTTGGTGGCAGCGCTCGTGATGTCATGATTCACTGTTCTATTTTTTTCTCTTCTCAATCTCTCTCTCGCTCCCTCTCCCTCTCTCTATCTATCTCTCTATCTATCTATCTATCTATCTATCTGTCTGTCTATCTATCTATCTTCTAATGTAAAGTTTTCTTTGTCCTCGAAATAATATTTTTTTCTCAACATTTACCTTCCGCATTTTCTTTTTGTTGTTATTGTTATCACATATATATATATATATATATATATATATATATATATATATATATATATATATATATATTTTAAAAATCGGATAAAGCGAAGTCCAGACACCATATCTTTTAATTTCAACATGCACTCGAGCTTCATTTTAACGGTCAGTAACTGCCGCTTTTAAAATGGCGCCGTTAAAAAGTGGCGAGGCATTTCACGAACCACTTTTTTTACGTGTCAACAGGCAGTCTTTATGTATGGAATCAGTCCTGGCTTAATTATTCTACATTGTAGTTAAGTAGAATAGTAATAATGAAAAACGGAATTATATTTTCCTATGATATGTTTTTGTCTTTATCAGTTTTATTGGATTTCGTAGGTGTTCAGTATAGCAGCAGTAGTAGTAGTAGCGATGGCGCATGGTAGTGGTAGCAGTAGTTATAGGAACAGTAGAAGTACTGGTAGTAATAGTAGTAAATGTAGAGGTAACAGTAGTAGCAGTTGTAGTAATAACAGCAATAACAGCAGTAGTAGGAGGGGGAGGAGAAGGAGTGATAGTAGTAGTTGTAGTAGTAGTAGTAGTGGTAGTAATAGTAATGGCAATAGGAGTAGTAGCAGTAGTAATAGTAATTGTAATAGTAATAGTAGCACTCTTTCTCTCCCCCCCTCTCTCTCTCTGTCTCTCTGTCTCTCTCTCTCTCTTTCTCTCTTTCTCCCTCTCTCTCTTTCTCTTTCTCTCTCTCTCTCTCTCTCTCTCTCTCTCTCTCTCTCTCTCTCTCTCTCTCTCTCTCTCTCTCTCTCTCTCTCTCTCTCTCTCTCTCTCTCTCTCTCCCTTTCTGTCACTCTCTGTCTCTTTCTCTCTCTCTCTCTCTCTCTCTCTCTCTCTCTCTCTCTCTCTCTCTCTCTCTCTCTCTATATATATATATATATATATATATATATATATATATATATATATATGTCTCTCTTTCTCCCTCTCTCTCTCTATGTCTCTCTTTCTTTTTTTCTGTCTTTCTCTCTCTCTCTCATATATATGTGTGTGCGAGTGTGGGTATGCATATAATTCTCCCTCTCTCACTCTCCCTCCCTCTTTCCATCTTGTGCTTCGTCATCATTCTGATCTAATATTCACAAGCCTTAAAAGATGCAATAATAACGATAATAATAAATGGAGATTAAAAAAAAAAAATGGAAGGTATAAAAAGGGAAAAATCCAAGATCGGTAAAACTATTAATAACGATAATAACAAATGGAGATAAAAAAAAAAAAAAAGAAATGGAAGATATAAAGAGGGGAAAAATCCACGATCAGTAAAACTAATAATAACGATAATAACAAATAAAGAAAAAAAAAACACGAAATGGAAGGTATAAAAAAGGAAAAAATCCACGATCAGTAAAACTCTCACTTCGAAACGAGTATTCCTTTCTCTGGGTCCCTGGTCGACAGCGCCTTCTTCAGTAAGTCATTCCGGCGTCCCTTCTCTCCTGCAGGATGTCCGTCTGGCTCTTCGGGCGAGTCTCTTCA